GCGGAGAGGAGACTTTTTGCTCGCGATACCGTGCGCGCGCTCTCTCGGTAGTCGGCATCGCGACGTCCAAGGTGCTCCTTCGTATCGTTTCCTCTCCCATCTCTCGTCTCTCTCCGCTCTCCGAGGAGAGTTGTGTAGTCACCGTGGAGCCATTATCTCACCAGCAAGTGGGTTTATTAGGAACGCAGCGGGGGTGGCCTCCGGGTAGCACCGACACCACCATTACCACCACCGCCGCCACTGGCATCAGCAACAGGAACAGCAACAACAACAACAACAACGGCACAACACCGTGAATCGGTCAGCCTCGTTACCGGTCTCCTGCTTGTTTTTTCTATCCAACCTCCCCTGTCGAAGGGCCGCCACCCTCTCACCCCGTGCCGCGGTCGGTCCATTATTACGAACAATTATTAATGGCCGACGGGCTTTCGCCTCGCCTCGTCAGTCGAACGAAAACGATCGAGGGCCCGAAGTGAGAAGCTGTCGGCTGCTACCGGTCAGCCTAGACGCCTCGGCCAATTTGTTCGCCGGCCTACTCGCACAGCCTTTAAACTTTCGCGATTCACTGCCGGCCATTTCACAGCCGGGATTCTTCAACCTTCCGATGGACATCGATGGGACACTTGGACGCGGACCGCTCCGACACCGGTCGCTCCTTTTCCTCCGCGTTATACCAGCCCGCCGACCAGATTCCAACCGAGCGGATTTCTCCACGCGTGTCGTCGCGTCCACGATTTTCCTCGTACCTTATTCGCGAATAACGCGACACTCGATACCGGTCGACAGCTTCCGTCCTGGTCGCCCGTAGAAAGGCGTGCTCGGGCGCATAGCGCGCAGCCGAATAAGCTATGCGAGCGATCGCGAAGAAAGAGGAAAGGAGTGTCGGTGCCGGTTACGGGCGACACGGCTCGCGCTCGTTCTCGTACATTCGCCGATCAGTCGCGAGCGTCCTGGTCCTCGTGGTCGTGGTCGCAATCGCGGTCGCGATCGTGGTCGCAATCGTGGTCGCGATCGTGGATCGCTCCACGGACACCTATGCGTATCTCCGCGGAGATATCTATGCAGGGCGTAAGCGACTGGCGGCCGGGGGTGGATTATCGCGCGTGCTTTCGAAACCGGCGCTTGCACTGGCAGACAATCGAACGGCGTTGGCAAAAGTGCGCGAGTGGGGCTACCGGCGTGCCTGGTCTTTAAACTTTTCCGTTACGCGGCTGGAATCTCGGACACGGAGCTATCGACAGGCCGATACGCGTCGACACGCCGGCCCCGGCGAGAAGAAACGGTAGCGGCGCGAGGGAGCGAGCGGTCCGAAGCGGGCCGAGCTGCGAGCCTTGAGCAACGGACACAACGACGAGATAGTCGCGGACGAGTCGTTGTTCGCCAAGTGTCCGATTGATCGTTATTCGGCGGATGGCGGAGAAGACGCGTCGGAGAAGAGCGAGAAGAGCTGGTCGAGGAGAGCGAGAGCGGAGAGTGGTTGGACGGAGCGTATAAGAAAGCGGAGAAAGGCCGGTGCGGGGTTGGGTGTGGGGTGAGACGTCGGAGAGAAAGAAAGGGGAGTCGGGGGAGCGGAAGAGGGCAGAAAGGCGAGAAACCGAAAGAGAGAAAGGAAGAAAAAAGAATAGGGAAACGGAGACGCGAGCGGGCGGTCGAGGAGTGAAAGAGGGGCGGAGGGGGTGGCGGGTCGAAAGGAACGGTGGAGGAAGGAGAAGAAGGCATTGTTCGCTGGGTTGGACCCGGTGGAACCCTCCCGCTGCGCGAGTTATTTGCCACGATTCTCCTTCATGATTTTTACTCTAATTTGTAACGACAGGAACGGAGCACGCGAGCTGCATTCCTACTCCGTCGATCCTGCTCGTCCCCGCCGCGGCGGCCCTCCGCTTCTCGCCTTTTCCCCGCTGTTCGCCCGGATCGGGAGCATCGGTTCGAGAACAATCTCCTGGCTACTATTCCGAGCGGCGTCCATCGGCTATGCCTGTTCGCGTCGCGTCCATCGGGGGCCGGTGAGAGAAGGAGAAGGAGAGAGAGAGAGAGAGAGAGAGAGAGAGAGAGAGAGAGAGAGAGAGAGGGAGAGAGGAGCGAAGCGGGCCACAATGGACTCCCTATGATTTCGGTAGCGGTGTTTTTTGTCAGCGGCAAACAACGGCCTGCCATGGTTAGCCTTGATCGATGGCTGAACTTAGCTGAGTAAGCCTCCGTTTAATTAATTCTTTAATTACTTTTCCCGGAGCGAACGCGGCCAACGCGGCGAGGGATCCGCGCCCGATTTCCGATCTCTGATACGGATACCGTGTCGTGTATACGGTAGCGCACGCCGGCTAGCGAGCTGCTCTCTCCTCTACCAACGCCGTCATCCGGTCTATGCGTGTCTCGGATCGACCGCGATAACCCGTCGCGCGTCCATCGCCATCCATTTCGATAACCTCTGCCGCGCCTTTTGCCAAACGCCTGCCTATCCGACCAATTCCGCCATTACCTACGTATGCGTGTACACGCGGGTGTAACGTCGCTTATGTACCGCGTCTCCTCTTCCGTTCCCTGCCCGTTGCTATCCCATTTCCATCCCGTTGCCTTTCTGTCGTCTGTTACCACCCCGTTGTCTTTCTGATGCCTTTCTGTTGCTATCCCATTGCCATTCTATTGCCTTTCTGTTGCCATCCCGTCGACATCCCATTGCCTTTCTATTGCCTTTCTGTTGCTATCCCATTGACATACCATTGACATACCATTGACATCCCATTGCCTTTCTGTTGCCATCCCGTTAACATCCCGTTGCCTTTCTTTTGCCATCCCGTTAACATTCCGTTGCCTTTCTGTTGCCACCCCGTTGCCTTTCAGTTTCCAACCCGTTGCTTTCCCGTTACTTTCCTGTTGCCATCCCGTTGCCAACCCGTTGCCAACCCGTTGCCTTTCTATTGCTATCCCGTTGCCAACCCGTTGCCAACCCGTTGCCTTTCTATTGCTATTCCGTTGCCAACTCGCTGCCTTTCTGTTACTATCCCGTTGCCAACCCGTTGCCTTTCTGTTGCTATCCCGTTGCTATCTCGTTGCCAACCCGCTGCCTTTCTATTGCTATCCCGTTGCCAACCCGTTGCCAACCCGTTGCCTTTCTGTTGCCTTTCTGTTGCTATCCCGTTGCCATCCCATTGCCTTCCCGTTACTTTTCTATTGCCATCCCGTTGCCAACCCGTTGCTATCTCGTTGCCAACCCGCTGCCTTTCTGTTGCTATCCCGTTGCCAACCCGTTGCCAACCCGTTGCCAACCCGTTGCCAACCCGTTGCCAACCCGTTGCCTTTCTGTTGCTATCCCGTTGCCAACCCATTGCCTTCCCGTTACGTTTCTATTGCCATCCCGTTGCCAACCCGTTGCCTTTCTATTGCCATCCCGTTGCCAACCCGTTGCCTTCCCGTTGCCCGTGTAATCGAACGAAAGACGAACGAAATCCTCGATTCGTACGAAGAAAGCATGCGATATCCCGGCGATTTTCCACGCGATTTACCATGTACGCTGGAACGCGACACGGTGCATACGTGTTCGCGTATTCGGGTAGCCGGCCTGTACAATATTTACCGCAACACGAGGATACCCGTAACATTCGTTATGCATGGTGTGTTCATCCGTCAAGGTGGTTAGCACGCAGGGGGCCCGTGCGGCGCGAAGAAAAGAACCACGTCGTAAAATTCGGCAGGGTAGTCGATCATTGTTCTTGGAGGCTGGGCCATTGCACCGCGTCCCTGCCCCCTGCGCCCCATCCTAACCGCTTCACTCTCCTTTTCGCGCCTCGCCTCCTTCCGCCGCTCCTTCCACCTTTTTCGCCCGCGTTTTTACCCGTTCGTTTAATAACGGAAATTACTTATTCTCCTCTCCGACTCAAGCAACACCGGATCCCGTCCGAGTTACGCCGTAAGGGTGGCGTTCTTTAGACGCCGCGACGAACCCGTGAACGAGATCGAGGGTGTCGCGAGTCGGCACGCGAGAGGATTCACTCTGGCTCCGGAATGTTTTTATACTCTTACGAAGCCTTTTCGATTCGTCGCGATTCCTTTTTGAACGAAGGGCCGAATTTTTGGTTCACCGTCCACTCCAAAGTCGACAATTCTGTGTATACCCCGATGTATTTCTCGCGAGTAACATAAATTCCATCCTGTCGCGGTTCATTTTTAAATAATGGACCGAATTTTGGATTTCCCAGTAACCCCAAAGTCGGTACCTTCGCGTATACGTGAATATATTCCTCGAGAGTGGCGTAAATTCGATTAACTTTTAAACGGTGATACAAATTTTAAGATTCCCGCGACAACAGAACCGCTACTTTTACGATACAAGTACCCCCAAGAATGACATTAAGAAGATCCTCTTACTATTATCTTCGAAATGGTGATTCGAATTTAAATCGACTCAATCGCGATTAAATCTAGTGCTATGGACGCACAATGTGTACGTAGCATACACGTATCGAGTATAGTACGTGTAATTAACGTCGATTAAAATCGTGGAATGAAAGTAGAGTGTACAGTTACAGAAGCATTCGTACTAAGACCAAGATCGATACTAATTTGACTAAAAACGACTGCGTATTTTCAGCAACCGGGAAAATAAGAACGCTAAAACGAGTGATTTTGACTCCTTCGATTATTCGAATATCGATATTCGAATAATTATTTAATTCTAGAATTTCCTCTCTATTCTAAAACTATCGCTTTCACGCATACCTATCTCGGTATTCCTCGAAATTGCTAATAACTTGAATCTACAACGCTTAATCTTCAATTCTGTGACTCGAATTAAGTTTCTCTTCGATTCTAAACGCCCCTTTGTTTCGTTGAAATCTATTCTATCGCGATTAGATCGAAAACGGCGATAAAAATGTTGCCCAAATTCGAAAAACACGATTTCCGCGTATGTCTATCTAGATATTCCGATTCTACAACGCTTGGTCTTCAATCACATTTACGTTTCCCTTATATTCTAAATTGAAATTGTTTTCTTAACAGCTTACCTTTCGATGTGGCGAGCTTCCGATGAGGCGAGCCATGGTCGAACAGCAAAGTCGCACGGTCACACGTAGAGCAATAACGTCCGAACTTGGCGAAGAATAACACTCAACTGAAACAGAAAAACATTGGCGGAAATTAACCACGAGCCTGTTCGAACCTGACGATGTTTACATGCGTTGGGCTGTATCTATGAACTACGACTCTCGTCGATGATACTCGTGCTTAGCTCGAATTCCTTACCAAGGTCTCGCACGATATCATAAGCGAAGGTATTAAATCGTATCAGAATGGAATATATCGTAAGAGAGAGTGTTAAATCTTATGAGAGTGGAATGAAATCGATTCTATCGTGATTGAATGGCAAACAGTGATCCAAATATGGCCTGTACTCGAAAAACGCGGCTTCCGCGTATATCTATTTAAATATCCCTAGATTATGGTGTTGCATCGATTCTATATAACGGTGGATCTACGATTGAATTTAAGTTTTCCTTCGATTCTGAACTTTCTCTGTTTCGTTAAAATCGATTTTATCGCGATTAGAACGCAAACAATGATCCTAATTTGCCCTGTACTCGAAAAACGCGGCTTTCGCGTATATCTATCTAAATATCCCTAGATTATAGTGTTGCATCGATTCTATATAACGGTGGATCTACGATTGAATTTAAGTTTCCCTTCGATTCTGAACTTTCTCTGTTTCGTTAAAATCGATTTTATCGCGATTAGATCGCAAACAATGATCCTAATTTGCCCTGTACTCGAAAAACGCGGCTTTCGCGTATATCTATCTAAATATCCCTAGATTATGGTGTTGCATCGATTCTATATAACGGTGGATCTACGATTGAATTTAAGTTTCCCTTCGATTCTGAACCCCTTTGCTTCGTTAACATCGATTCTATCGTGATTAGATCGCAAACAATGATCCTAATATGCCCTGTACTCGAAAAACGCGGCTCCTGCGTATATCTACCTAAATATCCCTAGATTGTGGTCTCGAGATTATTCTATAACGCTTGATCTACGATTGAATTTAAGTTTCCCTTCGATTCTAATCCCCTTTGCTTCGTTAACATCGATTCTATCGTGATTAGATCGCAAACAATGATCCTAATATGCCCTGTACTCGAAAAACGCGGCTCCTGCGTATATCTACCTAAATATCCCTAGATTGTGGTCTCGAGATTATTCTATAACGCTTGATCTACGATTGAATTTAAGTTTCCCTTCGATTCTAAACCCCTTTGCTTCGTTAACATCGATTCTATCGTGATTAGATCGCAAACAATGATCCAAATTTCCCCTATACTTGGAAAACGCGGCTTCCAGGTATATCTACCTAAATATCCCTAGATTACAGTGTCGCGGTGATTTTATAACGCTCGATCTTCGATCAAATTTAATTCTTCCCTTCGATTCTAAACCCAAACTACAGCTTTAACCTCTTACCTTATGATTTAAGTCGCGATGGGGCGTACCATGGTCGAACAGCAAAGTCACACAGTCACACGACGAGCATAACGTCCGCACGTCGCGAAGAATAACACGCAACTGAAACAGGAAAAGATTGGCGAAAATGAGCGACGAGCCTGTTCGAACTTGAGGATGTTTACGTACGTTGGACCCTATCTACGAACTATGCCGCCCGCCGATGATACTCGTGTTTGGCTCGATTTCCTTACCGAAGCCTCACACGATATCGTAGGCGAAGGTATTAAATCCCAGCAGAATGGAATGAAATCGATTTTACTACGATTAAATCGCAAATAATTATTCAAATCTTCTCTGAACTCAAAAACTACGACTTGAAGACGTATACTTTACTAGATATCCCAGGAAAATGGCATCGAGACAATCCTACAACGCTTGATCTCCAATCGGTGACTCAAATTTAAGTTTCCCTTCGATTCCAAATATAAACAGCTTCCTGAGATCCTATCAGAAGGGGATGAAATCGATTACATCGCGATCAAATCCCAAATGTCTATTCAAGTTTCCTTTCAACTCGAAAACTATGGCTAGAAGTCGCATACTTTTCTGGATATCGAAAGAAAATAACATCGTGTCGATCCTACAACGCTTGATCTTCAATCACTGACTCAAATTTAAGTTTCCCTTCGATTCCAAACCCAGACAGCTTCCTCAAATCCCTCCACAAGGGGATGAAATCGATTACATGGCGATTAAATCGCAAACGAGTATTCAAATTTCCACTTTACTTGAAAACTATGGCTAGAAGTCGCACACTTTTCTGAATACCCCAGAAAAATAGCATCGAATCTACTCTACAGCGCTTCGTCTACAATCACTAACTCAAATTTAAGTTTCCCTTCGATTCCAAACCCAGACAGCTTCCTCAAATCCCTCCACGAGTGGATGAAATCGATTACATGGCGATTAAATCGCAAATGACTATTCAAATCTCCATTTTCCTCGATAAACCATGATATCTATACATACCTATTCCAAATATCCCAGGAAAATGGTATTGAGTTTATTCTACAATGCTCGATCTCCAATCGGTGACTCAAATTTAAGTTTCCCTTCGATTCCAAACCCAGACAGCTTCCACAAATCCCACCAAGGGGGGATGAAATCGATTACATCGTGACAAAATCGCAAATGACTATTCAAATTCCCTCTTAACTCGAAAACCACGGCGTCTACGCTTACCTATTTTAAATATTCCAGGAAAATAGCATCGAGTCTACTCTACAACGCTTGATCTCCAATCCCTGACTCAAATTTATGTTTCCCTTCGATTCCAAATATAAACAGCTTCCTCAAATCCCACCTACGAGGGGATGAAATCGATTATATGGCGATTAAATCGCAAAGGACCATTCAAATTTCCACTCTCCTCGAAAACTATGGTACCTATGCATATCCATTCTAGATATCCCAGGAAAATGGCATTGAGACTACTCTACAACACTTGGTCTCCAATTCCTGACTCAAATTTATGTTTCCCTTCGATTCCAAATATAAACAGCTTCCTCAAATCCCACGACGAAGGGATGAAATGGATTACATGGCGATTAAATCGCAAAAGACCATTCAAATCTCCACTCTCCACGAAAATCATGGTACCTATGCATATCCATTCTAAATATCCCAGGAAAATGGCATTGAGACTACTCTACAACGCTTGATCTCCAATCCCTGACTCAAATTTAAGTTTCCCTTCGATTCCAAATATAAACAGCTTCCTCAAATCGCACCTACGAGGGGATGAAGTCGATTACATGGCGATTAAATAGCAAACGACTATTCAAATTTCCACTTTACTTGAAAACTATGGCTAGAAGTCGCACACTTTTCTGTATACCCCAGGAAAATAGCATCGAGTCTACTCTACAACGCTTGATCTTCAATCCCTGACTCAAATTTAAGTTTCCCTTCGATTCCAAATATAAACAGCTTCCTCAAATCCCACGACGAGGGGATGAAATCGATTACATGGCGATTAAATCGCAAAAGACCATTCAATTCTCCACTCTCCACGAAAATCATGGTACCTATGCATATCCATTCTAGATATCCCAGGAAAATGGCATTGAGACTACTCTACAACGCTTGATCTCCAATCCCTGACTCAAATTTAAGTTTCCCTTCGATTCCAAATATAAACAGCTTCCTCAAATCCCACGACGAGGGGATGAAATCGATTACATGGCGATTAAATCGCAAAAGACCATTCAAATCTCCACTCTCCACGAAAACCATGGTACCTATGCATATCCATTCTAAATATCCCAGGAAAATGGCATTAAAACTATTCTATAATGCTTGGTTTCCAATCCCTGACTCAAATTTAAGTTTGCCTTCGATTCCAAATATAAACAGCTTCCTGAAATCCCACGACGAGGGGATGAAATCGATTACATGGCGATTAAATCGCGAACGACTATTCAAATTTCCACTCTGCTCGAAAAGCAAGGCTTGCACGCACACCTCTCCGGATATCCTCGGAGAGAGTGGCACGGAGTCGATAGGCGTCCGCGTACCTACGACTCGGTAACCAACCGGCTAAAGGGGCAAAACAAAGGTCTGGAACATTGTCGGAGAAACCGGCACTTTGGTATCCTTTGCCCGTGCTCGCGTTTGCACGCGCGTGCACGCGGGGAGAAAAGTGGCGTCGCTTCGCAGGGTGCGCGCAATAACGTAGCGCCGAACGGCGGGGCTGGTCCCCGTTAATCAAGGGGCGGCGTTTCGGCGGGGGTGACAGGGGAAAATCATCGAGGACGAAGCGTGTCGAGGCTGGCTGGAAATTCAGCACGGAACGTACGAGCCGTTTACGTTTACGGGCGCGTGTTGGCCGATCTCCGGGGCTAAGGAGGCGTTAAGAGGGGCAGCGTCGTAAAATAAGGCGGCGACGTGCTAGATACGAGCTCAACGGCGCGTCGTAAAATCAGTCGGTGTCGGTGCAACGGCATAATTCTTCGGGCTACCACGGCCCCGTGAATTTTCGCGACCGCTTAACTGCGCGGAGGAACAACCGGCCCGTGTTATGCGGATGTAATTGTTGCGAGCAGATGTTCCCATTCATCCGTGTTCCTCGCCGCGGTTTCCATTCCCTTCGTAAGGAAAATACCCGAATACCGTTCTCCAGTAAACCTAACTTTCCTTCTTTCCTTTCTTTCACCCCTTTCTAGCGTCCTTTCCATCCTTTCCATCTCTTTTTCCTTTTTCTTTTCTTCTGTCATCGTCGCCATCGTCGTCACAGTCGACGTCACAGTCGTCGTCACAGTCGTCGTCACAGTCCTCGTAGTCGTCGTTGTGGTCAGGATAGAAACGCGAATCGGAAGGGACACGAGCGGTTTCGAATTAGCTCGAGGTCGTTGGTGCCTGGATGATCGAAAAGGCCGGTGAGGATCGTTGCACGAAACCGTGGCCGGAGAAAAGGCACGCGAGCCTCTGCGCTATGATCTCGTTGAAAAGGAGAAGACGTTAAGAGGGACAGCCTCGTAAAATTAGGCGACGGCGAGGGCAAGCGATGGTTGGACGCGGCGCGTTGCCATCGGAGGCTCGTAAAATTAGCCGGTACCGGTCCACGGATAATTTCTTACTTACGACAAATTTTACATCTACTCGAGGTACATCTACCGGCATCGATCCGCGGACCCCATAGGTGCTCGAGGCAGCGAAGACACGAAATCGGTTCTCGAGGGCAGGGGAAGCGGAATAAAAGGAAAGAAAGGGAGAAGAATGGAGAAGATCGGGAAGGAATTAAAGGAAGGAATTAATCGAGTGGTGGACCGCGATGGAATGGTTTGGCGAGCTTAAAGGTTGGCTCCCGGTTGAAATGAACGGAGTGACATTTAAACGCGCTGGAATTCCACGGAATCCGGCATCATAGAGAGCTGCCAGAAAACGAATCATATTACACGGCTGGAACGGAGAGAACGCGACGGGTCCATCGGACCGCGGAAGGAGGGACGCAGATGTCCGTGAAAAGGTAACGAAGGAAGCGACAGTTTTGATAATCGGTGTGCGCGTTCCGTATAATGCCGACAAGAGGCGTAGCCGGCATCGGCCACGCAAGATACGACACGACGTTTCTGCTTCTACTCGGGCTCATCGTCTCGATCGCGCCTTATCCCAGTCGGATCTAACTTCTATCCGTGCTCATCTGCACACGCCGAGTCCGGGACCCCTGTATTTTCGAGTAAACCTTCCACTTCGACCCCCGCGTCCCGGGCTCTCTTCCGCCCCTATCTCTTCCTAGGACGCGCACACGTCTCCGCGGATCTGACTTGCGTGGAGCTTGGTCGAAATCGCGCGGTAGTCGCGGGGCCCGATCCTTATCTGCCCGGACGGGGATCGGGAGCCTCGCAGCAGAGGAGGAGAGCAACGGCGAGGGCAGTGATAGCGAGGAGAAGATGTAAGGTCACGCGATGGCTTGGAGATGAAGCGCGCGAGTTTACGAGGCAACCCGGCGATGGGTTCTAGACGAAATTTCACCGCTGGTAGGAGATGAATCGTCCGGCTGATTCGCGCCACGGATGCTCGCATGCACGATGACGGGATCGTCGATGCTTGAAAGAAGAAGAGAAGGCCCCGACGAAGCCGCTTCAGTCCACCTCCGGATCCACTCCTCTCCGCGCCTCCGCTCGGCCCCCATCAACCTTCGGCGTTCGCGTTCGCGTTCGCTTCGAGCTTGCGTGCCAGTCAGCATTGGCAAGTAATTTCTTGCACGCAATTGCCCGCTACTGGAATTGCCTGGTAGGCGACCTCAGTCCGTCAGTCATTTACTTTTTAAATCGAGCCTACCTACCTACCTCTACCTGCCCGGCTGACTGGCTGCCTGACTGGCTGGCTGCCTGGCTGACGGACTGCCGGGCTCACTCGCGTATGTGCCTCCGTGTTCGACGTGCCTCACACACGCGCAACCGCCCAGCGGACACGCGGCGGTTTCGTGGCAGAATTTCCCAACGCTCGGATTCGCTGCGCGATAAGCATCTTCTCTTTCACGACGTTTCGCGTCTTCTCGCCCGAAAATTATTCCAACGGCCCGAGTAATACCGGTTCGAAGCTCCGGATCAACCGTTTCCGACGCCTCTCCGCTACCGCCACCGACATCCACGCGGTCCCACGATTTTCCAGTCTTCGCCTCGCGATCGCCCGATACGCGTACTCTCCGTCTCGTTCTCCCATTTTTACCCTCTATCCTATTTCTCCGTCCATTAATCGATTAATCCATTAACGCTTCCGTTTCGTTCCGTTTTTTTGGTCCGTGCATCGTGGTCCGATTCGCAATTTTCGTAATTTCGTACAAGGTCAACTCGGTTTCGCGTTTGTACGTCTATGGACTATTTAGAACTATGCCCAATTCGCGCGATTTTCAATTTGTATAGTTGTTATATCGATCGTATAGTCGAAACCGTGTCCAGATTTTATGTTTGGTAGACTTTGGATTTTCGCTTGCTTCTCGCGACAATTTGCCCACCGAGTATCCGTTTGAGTGCACGTTCGTCCGATTTCCCACCTTCCATGCTTCTTACCTCTGCTGATTGTACACGCGTTCGATTCCGCGTTCGTGACAGATCGCGGAAACGTAGCCGGTTCTGCAAAGGAAACGAAGGAACGCGAGTGTTCGTAGGTTTCACGTTGGCCGAGAGAGAAGGAAGGATTATCCTTTGAATCGAACGTATCAATGACGAATAATTGCACGTTTAGCGGCCGTTACGTTTGCATTCGTGCACGACAGGCCGAGTGTCCAGGAACCGGGAAGCGACGAGCAACACGACCGTATCTTAATCGTCTCTTGTTATTGCCTTTCTAGACCAAGCGTACCGTGTGCCGCGTTCGTGGGAACCTAAGCTGACACAAAAGAGGATACACCAGCGTTCCAGTGGAAATTTTCAAACGCCTTCCTCCTGTTACCCGAGCAACGCTATCACCTACACGAAGTACGAGTTACAAGATCACCGCCTAAGTTTCACCTCGGTCACGCACACTAGCGACACCACGCACGCTGGCGCCACCCTACGAACGATCCTATCGAAGGTTTAAACGCGATTCGACGTCTGGCAAATCGATCATCGACGCCCCAGATATTTCACTCGTGCAGAGCGAATCGCGGATAAAATCTCACACCGTGCAGCGGAACGCGTACGTTTGAGAAATCGACGCGACATGTTCCGCACGTAAAGCATCGTCGACGTGTAGCTATTCCCCCCAGGGAAAACTCAACCCTTCACTGAATACGGGATTGGCGTAACGAACGCTCGAGATCCGTTGCCGCGATAATCGAAATCGTTTTTTCGCACACGCCAACTCCACTTGTCCCGATTTACCTGCCACCGGATTACTCCGTTGACACGTTCGTTCGTTCACGAAACGCACCACTTTCGGACGTACGAATTAGCTTATTAACTATCTTATCGACTAACAGAAAAGTCGGAGAGAGGTTACCTTACCCTCCTAGCTGGAGCACGAGCAACGCGAGCGAGACGCTGTTCTAACGAGGCACGCAGATCGTCGAGAAATTTCTCGAGCTAATTAACCGGTAGCCAAGAGAGGGAAGTATACCACGGAATAGGCGAAAGATGTCGCCTGCTACGGTTCAGCGCTCGATGCTCCTGACTCGATAAGGGAAAAATGTCTAGCGACCTCTGGTCAACGAATCGTTTGTCACGGCTTAACGTCTACTCGAACTAGCCACTTATCGCGCGATGCGACACGAAGCGACGCAACGCAGCAACCATTTTATTACTTTCACGGCAAACGCGCGATGGCGCCACGAACAGTCTCGATTGTCCAACGATTCGCCGCTCGCCAACGAAATTAGACTCATCGGCGTAACTTTTCGAGCGTGTACGTGCTACGCGAGCGCAAAAAGTCGCGGCGTGAAAAGCAATCGAGTAAACAGTTTCCAAGGGTATGACGAAAAACTCTACCAAAAAATGAGTATCAACGTCGTTATCGAAGGTTATCGTCGCGGATTTGTATGCCGGATTTCTCGTTCCTCAAAGATCCGACGTATCTTGGTTATGACGCTTCGCTATCGTGTTACATAACCAAGCTGACGGAAAATTTAATCGATCTCGTTACCGATCGTATATATTCATGTCGGTTAGATCCGTGGAGACACAAGCGTACAAGTAAACGTGTACGCCTCGTGTGCCTGTTGGACAATAAAAACTGCTGCATCGTCGGTTTTCGAGTGTGTCATCAAAGGTTATCTCGACGTGATGAAAATGGAATGCCGTGTTTGAGCGAGTAGAAGTTTAATAACGAACAGACTTCCGAAACGATTATTACCGGTCGCGATCTTTAATCCCACGATCGATACACCGTCATCGTCGTTACCTCGTGAAACGGACAATCGTCGCTCGATCGGCTATAGTCGTAGAACGATGCGCTACTGGAACACGGTGTTTGTGTTGCTACTGATTCACGCAGTTCTCGTCAGCAGTTGGTCCTTCCGCAGAGTCGTTGGGTCCATTGAGAATCGGCTGACTCCTGTTTCGAATTACACGCGAGGCGTGAATGTAAATTCCACGGGCGACAGGATAACGCTCCAGGGTGAGATAATAATTTTCCCTGACCGAAAGAAATGCTGCCTTGCCCATCGGGGGAACGATGGGAACGTGGTGTGTGCAGGAAGGTTTGGTGAACGAGTTTAAATGGAACAACACGCGAACGACGAAACTTATCGCGTAGGACCGTATTATCTTTCCCCGAAAATCGGGAAGTTCGTTCATCGATCGTGAGAGTTCGAGGTTAGGGTCTCTCCGCGTCTACGAGTTTCGTAGAATATCACTGCGTAGAGTATCGCGCGATAACGGTTTTTATTACCATCGATGTTTACTGCATTGATAAAGCAGATCGTTACACGACGTTAGGAGAGACAAAGTTGCGACTCTATCGCCGAAATTCTCACCTATTTACCGAGTGTTTATATTCGAACGCGACCGTCGGGTAACGTCGTAATCCGACCAGTGAAAATAGTAATGCGAATGGTGGTTAGCAGTGAAAATACGACGATGATAGAACGCGTTTTTCGACGTCAGTGAAGAGTTGTAAATATTCTTACCGAACAGTGTCACGATCACGCTACACCAACTGTGTTTCGACTAGTCGAAATTGTTTCTGTTAACGATTTCCGGCAACATTTTACGGGATCGACTGTTCGTTGTCGGACACGGTTTTCCACCATCGTCGTAGACTCGACGAATCGTTGTGGACGAAGTCGAATCTCGCACCGTTTTCAACATGAGACTCCCGTGGATCGTATTGGCAACGGTCTTCATTTTGTTTCTGTTTCTCCGCGCGACCATCGCAGATACGAAGCCATCGAAGAGAGAACACAAATTCGTGCCGTACGTGTTCGATTTTCATGATGTCAGCACCGTTAAAGAAGGATCCTTCATCACCGTTCCTGTTATGTGTCCGCCGGGGCAAGTGAACATCGGGAATCGTTGTAGGATTAAATTTTAAGTGAGTACAAGTTGCATTTAACGACCGTAATACGCGTATACTTCGAAGAATAAAGATGGAGACTCGTCTGGACTAGTAAGGAAGATAAAAGCAACGCGATGCGTGATGTTCGATACGATTATAGTATGTTTGAAAATGTCTGTGTGAAAGATAGAGAATTCGTAAAATCGTACGATACGATCGTAAATGGTTTTTTTTAAAAATGATAATCGCGTTATATATATAAACATCTACGTGATAAGCTGTAACATGATCGATAATTTCAACTCGAATTAATTTCAGATACGTCATTTGTGATAACAAATCGTTCCAATTGATCGATATCGAGGTTCCTAATACTTTCTTCGTAAATCTGACAAAGAATTCGACAATCGACCAAGTTCTCACTGATGTCCTGCAGGACTCTTCTTTCCTGCATGCAACGTCGGTAAGGAAGTACATTTTTTAAATCTAAACAAAGATAAAACAATGGAAGAAATATCAAGTAAAATACATCGATATGATGTAAGATATATAAATACACGAACTAAAAAATCGAAATTATCAATTTACTCGAGATTATCGAAGGAAGGAAACCGCTTTATCGCGTGTACGTAACTTAATTACAATTTCCGTAAAGAAATAAGTACCTCTAGGAATTAAACGATACCATCGTTTTATTTTATATTGTAAGATTTATACACATCCACTGTAAACCATGATTCGTTCAATTGCTTAATGAAATAAGGAATTCGCGTTGGTAAGACATACTGGAATCTGTCTTAACGTGTAAAGATAATTAAGCTACATAAGGTAAAGTCTCGTTTATGTACATTTACAATTGTAAACATTTCGCAACGTATTACGAATCGTAATTCTATTCTCATTTTTGAATAGAACTATAATTTACAAAACGTTCATCAATAAAGCATAACCTATTACAAACGACTTTAGCATCGTGATGTATTTTTATTCAACCATCCTTTCGTTAGCCAAGTTTCGAAATAAATACGAATTTTAATAAATTCATTTTTGCATATCGATACGAATATATGCCTATTAGCGATATAACTATATCCTACAAAAAATATACCCATTATTACTGATTATTTTATCGTACGTGCGTACTATCAAGTTTTTTAAACCACATTGTGCGTAATCGAGATACGAATTGTAACCACAAATTAGCAGAAATAGAGAAGGGGGATCTCGTTAAGAGGAATATAATGAACGTATTTGCATTGTTCTCTACGGCAGTCTCTAATTTGTCTCAACAGGAGCTTAGTGAAAAGTGAAAAGATCCGACAAGTAGTAACCGAAGTGTCACCAAAGTCGTTCAAACTTTGTGCATATACAATGGCGCCGTTACGTTTCATTATTTTCGTTCTCCTTCTGTGCGTTTTCATTGCTACAAGTGAATCCAAACCTCTAATCTTTCCACAAAGGAAGAATACCGGTCCAAACCGATGTCCACCAGGATACAGATACATTCGTAACCTAGGCTGCAGAAAATTCATATAGGTTATGTCAGGTAATGGCGGTAAATGAATAAACAAAAGCTAATAAATTATACAAATTTCTTCGAAGTCGTTGCAGTTGTGCACTGCTTTTTATTCTGTTGCAGCAATGTGAAGATAAGAAGCTTCCACACAATTTTTAAACAGCTAACACGAATCGAAAACATGACAAATTGTTCCACGACATATCTATCTCGTATCAGATATCGTAAAATGTACAGATAATTTGATTTATTATTTCGCAACTGTATACGCCTATAATTTACACGAATGTAAAAATAAATCACAATTTATCGACACAAGGTTAACGTAACGTCTTGCTTTCTTCCTTAACCAACTGATGCTTTCCAATTATTACCAGTAACGACAACGCAAATTTACATTCGAATCTACCGTGAGCTTTAAGGATAACACCTGTATATATCGATCTATTCTTATCACATTTCCCAGCAGCTACGATTTACGATAGCGAAATCATTTTTTCTCGGCGATATAGCATTAGTCACGTATTATTAATGATCTGGTTATGATCTTAACAACGATTTTAGGATTAAAAAAATTAAAATTTACTCGAGGCCATAAAAGTATATCGTTAGATACATAACCTTCAAATTATTTTCTACAGAGTCAGGCAAAAGGTTCGTAAACAATTGTACCTGAAAAGAGAACTACCGATCGACGATGATTAGAAACTATATACCTGCGAAGAAAAATCTATCTCAGTATATATCCACGATATATTTGCACGTTTGGTGGCAGCACATTGTCATTCTTTTCAAACGAATTAACACCTCGAATGATCGCGTTGCGGTAGGTAAGCTACGAGAAATTTAATCTCGTGTGCAAATTCAATCCACGTGTCCAACTAACCTATTAACCGTGAACATCTACAAGAACAACTTGCCTATCAACGAAGGAATTCGTATCAGCTTTGTTATACCAGATTCGCCGGTAAATTTATTACACAGGTTGCACAGGAAAGTCCATTATCAACAAACTCCACTACGATTCAGCACGGTCGATAAATCCTACAAATGTAAAAGAAAATTATTACTTTCCGATGCTCAAGGTAATAATTCCCCAGGAGACCGATGACTCTATCGGCCCGATAAGAATCGGTACTACGACAAACAAAAATGATTCTACAAGATCGGTATTACGGCAAAGTTATATGATAAATGATCCATACGTGTGCCACTGAACGCGTGCCGTTCGTGTGTGTGTGGCCACAAATACGCGCGGAGCGTATTCGCTTCGGCAGTCGATCGCGGCGCGAGCACACGAACCTGCTCAGGTACGACATCTTGACGTTTTCCTCGTGTATCAAGTGCAATGGAAACGGCAAGGCCGAACGTCTCGTAAACACGTGCAATCATTGTTCCTCGTAATTAAAACTTACCTCCGTCGATACTCGAGCGCGTTACCTTTGTAGTGGCCACGCGACGCAGGGATCTCGTGTCTGGAAGATAAATCTTGGCAGCGACTCGCTATTTTCCGACATCTCGGAAAACACGCCGAGGGAAGCGATCGTATCGAGCGCAAGCATGTCACGTTCGATCAGACACAAAGCGCTCGTCCTCGCGATTCTTTGTGGACTGGTGACGGGTTCGCAGAGCGACACCGTGGGACATAGAAAGGACAGCAGGTTGTCGGGTGACCGTGATATAGTGTTCCCTGACGAGATCAATGCAGGAGCGTTAGACCTTCCGATCGTGCCTCCGCCTTCACCCGAAGACGTCGATAAATCAGTGGTAAAACGATACTATCTTCTATGGTAGAAATTCACAACCGTTACACGTAGGTATTTCGCTAATGGAACGGAACGAGTCCATTCAACGAGTCGCGGTTGCAACACTCCCACGTCTTCACTTTGATAAGTAGCGCAATTACGTTATCCCGCCGAGCATTCTGAGGAGCGTACGTGGCGTGCCAGCTTCGAACTTTAAAAATTAATGCAGCCTTCTCCTGTCCAAAATGTATCGGTATCATACCGGCACAACTGAAATCACATTGCGATTCTTTAGTCATCGTGAATAATGTTAGTCATCCTGGCCGTTAACGCCGTTAATGCCATTCCACCATGCTAATCGAGTTTACTTCGAAACGTTCTAATCGGTAAATTTCTTTTACCGTAAATCTGTCGTGAATGTTCCATCGTAGGTATTACGTGTTGCGATAAAAAAGTAATCCACACTATCGATGCTAGTATATAAGGCGGAAGTCAGTCATCCGTTTCGGTTTTGTTACCGTAAAGTTCCCCGGTTTTGTATTTCTTTCTATCCGTTATCGTCAGCGCTCGTTAACGTAACAGCAATCGGAAAGGAGGTGCCAGTTCCTTTTGTCGACAATCGGCATGGGTATTACGACATCTGTCGAACGAGTTCACGATCACTTTTCCGTAATGACGTTGGAAACTGAATAACTCTGCTGTCGAGGATTTACCTGATACAGGAGTGGGAGATGGAGACAAAAAATCAAAAACCTCGCGGTGTACGACATGGTTAGGATTCCCGTCACGATGCTCATGATTCGATATATAGATAATCGATCACGAGTCATTTGACAAATATTCGTACGAATTCCATGTCGATTACCTTGCGAGATTCTGTAATAATAAAATAAACGTTACCGAGGAATTTCTTACTATGAACGGTATTTACTTACCGTTAACTAATCCGTGACCGAAATGAAAGAGAAATTTAGGTTACGATTAAAAACTCGCACGCATAGCACAAACGTTGCAAGGTTATGTCGCCTCCTTCGGCAAGGACGTTACTTTGCGAAGATTATAGATATTCGTTCGGTCACAATACAGTATTAGTCTGTGTACCGAGCGCAGGTATTTCAGTGTTACAACAGGATTATACAATCGCATGGTTGACGCCGTCCGTAATAGAGGACCTTTAAAGGTCGATTTTAAATTCCCACAAAACGCCAGGAGATGACGTTTCTTGGAAAGTACGTCTTGGAACGTCTGACTTCTCAGTTATTCGAATCGTGGTATGCGTAATGGTTATCAAAATGGACTCCATACCGTTCCCGCTTCGATCGACATCTGTCGAAATATTTGATTTGACGTGCAGAATCGATACGAATTTGTCGATATAAGTGTAGCGACTGCAGCGCGATATACGCGATATATCGGTTACCGGTCACGCCACCTGTGAGACTTTCCAAAAAAAAGAAACAAATCGCGCCTATCGAGAGACAGGACATTAACACCGAGAACGCTTCTAAGAATTCAGTTCGGCCTTTACTGACTTTTCGGAGTGCATGCAGTGGTAGCTCGTGTAAAACCTGTTTTGGAAAGGAACGTGTGAGAGCTTGAAAAACAACTCGGTACGTACTGTGCAGGGATGTGAAGTTGGCTAGCGGATCCAAGGGGCGATAGGTTATGCCGTAATAGAAACACTTTCTCTCGCATGATGGTAACATAGAGCATACGAATTTTACTAACAAAAATTATCGCACGTACAGGTTATGTCGTTCCGTATCACGTGGCAAAGAGATCGAAGGACAAGCAAAACAGAACAGCATAGAGAGATAGAAAACATAACAACGAATTTCAAAGTATTGGTCAATCGTTGACATAAATACTTATCATAGGTTACACAGGTGATTGATCCTACTACACGTCAATATGTGTTTCCATGAGTCGAAAATTCGATATTTCGCAAGCATGAAAAGTGAAATCATACAAAGTCAGTATACGTTTTACTCTAACGTTATGCCAATCCGATAACCAACTTCCAATCTCTGCAGGATACAGCGTAATACCTTGAGTGTCTCATACACGTAATTGACGTAAAAGTGTAGTTTAAGTATATTCCAAATATAGCAGCTACAATGGCGCCAACCATTTATAGTTTCGCAGATGATTGACCTACAGTCATTTTCAATCGCATTCGCAGGCAAAACTGATGATTCACGGATATTACCGGAAATACCCTGATAGTTAATTAATATTCTTTTCTCGTAACGTTCCTTTTAACTGATTCCTTAAGCCGATTTTATCCTTTTACGTCAATTTAAACGTTCGAATAGTGCAGCAGCTCGTTTTCTAATATCGTACGATCTGAATTAAAGGTCTTGGTGTGCAATTGGCGACAATGTGCGGTGTAACTAGACAGTCGTTCCACCTGACTTCATTCGATTCTGCATCCCCTGATATGCATAACAAAACACTGAAATTCCGAAGTGAAGGGAATAGAAATGCAGTCGATTAGCACGTGCATAACTCCTTGCTAAAACTGCATTTACCACGTACGTGATAAAATGCGAATACAGCGACAAATAAGAATTTTTTTTCTCCCGGAATTACCGTTGTAAGTAAGCTGTTAATCAGATTTATTGGCATTTTTATCGATTATCCCTATCAACTAATCGCTAGTGACTAATCGAGATAAGGGAA